ATCCATCGTCGACGACGATAAGTAAATGCAATATATAGATCCTCTTTTTTGGATAAAGATCGGAAAAATAAGTTTTACAACCGTCTGTTACCGTTACATATCAAACGTATCAAGTAGAATGTAGATACATATATATACTTTATAGTTGCACAACTTCTGATTTGGAAATTACATTTTTATATACTGATACATGTAAAAGCTATCCATCGTCGACGACGATAAGTAAATGCAATATATAGATCCTCTTTTTTGGATAAAGATCGGAAAAATAAAACAAAACAATTTAACGGTTATTGAAGGAGCCGTTAAAAACCTGTTAATTACGGAAGGAAAAATAAACGGGGTAGAATTAAATAATGGCGAAATCCTTTCTGCCAAAGTAGTAATTTTGACTACCGGCACTTATTTACAGCCGTAAGTTTTATAACCGTCTGTTACCGTTACGTATCAAATACAGTACGTATATATGCTTTATAGTTGCACAACTTCTGATTTGGAAATTACATTTTTATATACTGATACATGTAAAAGCTATCCATCGTCGACGACGATAAGTAAATGCAATATATAGATCCTCTTTTTTGGATAAAGATCGGAAAAATAAGTTTTATAACCGTCTGTTACCGTTACGTATCAAATACAGTACGTATATATACTTTATGTATATTTTATGTACGTATATATATACTTTATAGTTGCACAACTTCTTGATTTGGTAATTATTTTTTTTGTTAATTATCTTTTTTGTATAAAAGGCTATCCATCGTCGAAGACAAAACATGATTAGAACTGGTATTGTAAAAGTCAATTATCTAAAATGACTAAATTCAGCACTATTTACGAATATTTAACTGACAATGAAATACAGATTTTACAACAATGCTCTTACCAACTAACTCTTTCGATTGACGAATTAACCAAATCAACTGTAAAAAATCGTCTTAATCCACCGCGGCCACAAAACAGCTGGATAATTTTTCGAAGAGATTATGAAGCATACTTACGTTTATATGATCAACATATCAAATCAAAAGTTAAAGAAACAGCAAAAGAATGCAGTTTAAAGTGGCGAAAGTTGTCAAGCGAAGACAAGCATTTCTTCAAAATATTGGAGAAAATAGCTTGTGAAAATCATAAACGTAGATATCCCAATTACAAATACAAGCCAAAACCTGCAAAAAATCTAAGCCATAAAGAATTTATTTTTCGAGAACAGAAAAAATACGTATCTATTTCGCCAGATACGTTTAGAACAATAACTTCCAATTCACCTCAAGGACCAATACAAATCGATGGGGCGCCATCTTTAACTTCCAATTCACCTCAAGAACTAATACAGATTGACGGACCACCATCTTTGACTTTTAATTCACCTCAAGAAACAATTCAAATCAGCAGGCCGCCATCTCTGGCTTCCAATTCACTTCAAGAACTAATACAAATCGACGACGAGCCGCCATTTTTAACATTAGCAACTTCGACAACCCTTTACAATAATCAAGACTATATTAATAACTTTACGAGAGCCATTTATAATCATCAAGACTATAATAATGACTTTACGACAGCCATCTATAATCAACAAGACTACACTAATGATTTAACTCAAAATTCGATCGACAACATGTTCAATAAATTGGATTGTAACGATAACGACAATCAATTTCCTATTTTATTTGAGACAGATTTTTTCTTCGCTGACAACAACCATAACGATAACAATGATAATAAACATACAGGTAGTGAAAGTAGCATAATTAATATCAATAATGATGATAATGGTTCATTTACTTCTTCAACGCTGCAATTCACAACTAATACGCCAATGACACCACTGATATCTTCACCTTTAACGCAATCACAATCACGCTCAAAATTATTTATGACAAAATATGATTCACATCATTTTTGACAATGTCTTATATGATAACATCTCCTTTATTTAGTGTTATATAGAGATAATTAATAAATAATAATAATGAATAATCCCTCGGAAATAATCTTATTTTGTATGCTTTTACGGATTTTATTAGACGATCTATTCATTAGCTCGTTCGTTCTTTCTTTTGTTCTTTATTCTTTGTCACTTCGCTACTTTGCTACTTCATTACTTCGCTACTTCATTACTTACTTCGTTACTTCGTTACTTTGTTACTTCGCTACTTCGTTTATTTCGTTACTTCGTTTACTTCGTTACTTCGTTAGATTTTTTTTCTTTTTTAATAGTCAAATAAAGCTTGACAATGAACCAGACATCCATTAATCATCAATTTGCTCTATCCGCTTAACGTTAATATAATAATCATTCAAAAATTCATTTGCAAAGATAGTGAAATAAAAGTTATTTAAATTAAAGATATTGATTTAAGTCCAATGCTAACAAATGCGATAATGTTTTACAGCCAAATACGTGTAATCATAAACATAATTTCTTGCAAGCAGAGCTTGTATTTGTTTTGTTCGGCTAGGATTGCTTCATTGAAGTGATTATGTTTATATGGTGCAAGAAATCTAAACTCAAAATTAAATGATATATCTTAAAAATCTTTCAACTTCCTAAAAAAGGGCATGTCTAAAGCCCGGTCCATCTGATAATCAGTCCGAAACAAACCAATAAGGATGCGTAAATTTTTGATCAACTCGGCAAAACAAATCCGAAGCGCGGGCAAAAACATAAAAAATAACCGAAAAAAATGCTTAAATCTATCTTGGTATACTAATAAAAAATGTCGGGGATGCAATTTTATATATAATCTTGATCACAAAACCCTAAGCTTAAAATTATATAGTTATCTATCACGTGATGGACCAGGCTTTAGACGTTCCCTAAGTGATATTTTTAAAAACTGACCGGTAATATTCTTTATGTTCTATCAAGTTACCAGACATCAAAAGTTATAAGCATTTAAATTTATGCTCAACCTGAAACACATCATGTGATTATTTTATCTCGTGACTTTATTGGTTGGCATTTATTATAATTCAGGCCGGCACTATGCTAATTATTATAGTGCAAGCCCGAATTATCATAGTTTAAATCATGTGATTGTTTTGCATCATTACACATTACTATTTTATTGGTCGATTACAAAAACGTGACATTGAATCGCCACCAGAAAATTGAACCAGAATCACACGTGAATAAAATGCCATTATTTCATTGGTTGATTAATCACTGGATTACCGACAGAAAATTGAAATAAATCACGTGATTGTCGGTTTAACTTTCGGCACCATAGCACATATTATATTATGTAATTTAGCAAATATTTCCACACGTAAATCGTAAATCAGCATCGCAATCAGCATTAATTTCCAAAAAGTAAAATTGCCAATGTTGAATTTTATTTACCCGACACTGTACGTATTATGCATTATTTATGCAAACTGAAAAATTGGTGTGCCCTTTTTTGTGCAAACCTGTTTAAATATTTGAACAATTACAGGATATTATCATAATAAAAATGCATTAGATGTAGTCATTTGACGAGCGGCGAAGATGATCTGAGTTTGTTCTCATGGATGTTTTATGAAAATTCATTCACGTTCAACAAAATGGTTTCCCCAATTTATTTATTCACTTTATCGGCAATGCATTTCTTCCGAGTTGTATATACATGTAGAAGTAATATTAGGACAGTCAAAGTCATACTTAACTACAAGTTCGCTTTAATGTAGCGATAGTAAAAATGATCGTATATCAGATAGTAGTGACTTTAGGTCAAAATAGTAAAATAAATTATATCACTAGTTCTAATTTCTTCAGTTGTCTATTCATATCATATAAATAAAAGACGCGAAACCCTCTATAATCAAACCTCTATTGTTAACGTTAATGTTATTAGCATTTTGCATGCAGCATAAAAAAGCTACACAACATCTTTAGACATGTACATGTATTAAAATCTTATTCTAGATATACCGATGCATGTAGCAAGTTTTTATGTCTCACATACGTATACTTATGTGTTACACTGGATCAAAAGATGCACTGAAAGCCATAAGGTATCGTTATATATATATATATATATATATATACATGTACATGTAAAATGCATAATACAGAAAGTTAAATTTAATTCGAATGAATTTAATATATAAGACCGTCGGTTCCATCGATCTATCCTCATGAGGATCAGACCGTTTCGATCTCAGGATGGGTCGAAGGACCATTGGTCTATATACAGTCGTGGCCAAAAGTATCCGACCCTCCTAACTTTCCGTAAATCATGTGTAACGCACCAAATTTTTCCGAGCACAAAGAACATTACAAATGCTGATCGT